GAGAGAGAGAGAGTGTTAAATGGGTTGGGGCTGCTGTGAACCTAATGAATTCACAGGGGCAATTTTCGGAAAACATACTAGGGAAAAGGGGTGAGATTTGTATGGGGTGGCCTAGATGAAGTTTATAGGGAAATTTGGATGCTGCTTGAAATGAAAGAACATACGAGGTCTTTTTTTTGTTTTATACTATTTTTTAAGGTGGGGGGGGGGGGGGAGTGGTGTTTATATTTGATAATTTTCCTTTTTTTTTCCAATTGAAGTTGGGGTTATTTGTTTATGGTGCAATTTTGCTGTGTGATAACTGTAACCAAGATTAGCTCATATGTCATCCTGCATCATGGAAATATTAGTACTTAATTTATATTTTTATGCTTTCAAGTCGAAGCAATATTTAGTGCTTGTTCTAAGCAATGCTATATTTTAATGTAAGTTGTTTCATGCTTTCCTGCAAAAATTTTAGGTTTTTGTTCTCCATTATCAGCTTCACGTTTATGCTTCAAAACATGATTTACAAGAAAATCCCTTGTCCCACTTCAGAAGCAGCTCTTTGGGCAGTTCAGGAACCCCTGGCATGGATAACTTGCCTGTGAAATTTGGGATGGAATTAGACTTAGGTATGATTAAATAATTATTGTTGGGTACCTAATGGAATCTATTCAAAGTCTCAAACTAATGGAGCTAATTACCTTTTTCTTTTCTATTCCATGCAGGTTCCGGAATCCCTTGCAAAATTGCATTTGAAGAACATCAGGAGAAAGACATGTTTGTGGTACCAGTAACGAAGGGGATATCAGGGAAGGTGCTCCTCGCTGAAGAGATTTTCCCTGACTCAAATCAAGGTGTTGTCTTTGCCATGGCACCATTGGCTGGATTAAATGTAAGTCCATATCATGGTTAATGTATAAACTTGTGGCTGTTGTTATCCATTGGAGTGCAGAAGTAGATTGCATGAGAATTATTATTTGATAACCAACTTCTTCTTGTGGAGTATCAGTTTCAAAGAACCTGCTTGTTTTTGAAATTCTTTTTCGAAGCATGTGATGCATGTTAATCAAGTTGTAATGAAATGCAGTTTGCACATATTAAAAAAAAAAAAAATGCAGTTTGCCTGTATAATATTATCATCCACCATTATAGAGTAGATGATTTGCATCATCCATATAGAGGATGAAGTTCTTGATAAAGAAAACCAGGGGTGGACATAAGCATTGACACTGCATGGCCATTTCTACGAAACACTTGTTTACTTGCAGATGATTTTTCTGTTCTCGTGCCACTTTTTCAGAAGAAATGTTTTTTAGTTTTTGTTTGCGAAAGGAGTTTTTTTGCATTCATAATCATGTCAATTGCTCGCTGAATTCATTCATTATTTATTTAGATGAATGTATAAGCTTTATTAAGAACAAGTGCTATGTTAAAAGGTGCCTGCCATCACCCAGCTTGACTTCTGGCTGAACTTATTATATTCCATTTCCAACATACTGATGAGGAAAACCGCAGCACATTGACAGGGAATATCGATTTCATGTATATATAATATTACTCTTAACAGTGTACAGTCTATACTGATATTTCAATGGATTTCTGCTACTCATTCCATTTGCTAGGAAATGATGACAAATTTGGGAATGTGTTGGCAAACATCGTGTTGCTGGTCTCTCCCTCTTTTGTATTATGGACAAGTTTTAGTTTCTCTCTCTCTCTCTCTCTCTCTCTCTCTCACTGTTTCTTTTTCTGATTATTTACTTGGTAAATGATGGAAATATTGATCCCAGCATCACATGTAAGTGCACTACGTGTTAAAAATGTCGATCACCCTCATTTGTAGTTATTTTTCATTTGTAAGTATTCTAATGTTTATGTACAGCCAAAGATAGATGAAACACATCAAAGATGGCTGCACCTAAGAATAAGAACTAAGGCTCCAACTGTAGGAGTAAATGAAACCAGTACAAGTGGCCTGCAGTCTAAACATCCTGATGATGGAAGATGGACCATTGGCTTTTCGGATATTGAGACCTGCAAATCTGCTAGGACTTTGATATTGGAGAAAAGGGCTGAGCAAAGGTCTGCTGTTTTGAGTATTCTAGCACCGCTTTTAGGTAGTTCAAATATAGATGTTGAAGATTAGTGAAGCACTTTTCATGTTGTTTGGTGCAGGATATCACCATCTATATGTACTATAATAGCAGGAAAATAAAACAATTCTGTGGATACTAAAAGTGTAAAATCTGCATCATGCCATCCTTGCTTTTGCCAAGTCATTGTTGTTAATGATGGTAAGTGTTTGTGTTTCTCTTAAGCATGGTTTAATGAAGTAGATCGATAGTATCTCGTTTGATTGGAACAGAGGGCTTGGATTTGAGTCCCTGGGCAGAGAGAGAGAGAGAGAGAGATGCATGTTGTTGAGGGGTACTGAATCTAAAAATAGAAGTTAGGCTCTGTTTGGCTACCCTAGTAGTCATATGTTTTTTGTCGTACAACTCTTTCGGCACTGTGTTTGCAACAAGTGGGGTAACAAAAAGTTAGGCTCCACCTTGAATTGTTGCGGAGATCAAGAATTAGCACGGTTTGTGAGGTTTAACCTACCCAGAAATTAGCAGAACTCTATTTTGGAAAGCGTTGTACCCCAATAATTTAGAAACTCTTAAAAGATATATAATTCTCCCCAAAATTGGAAAGAAAATATTTTCATTAGGTTGGAATTTTTACTGGAGCCGGATCCGTACTTACTGGATCAAAAGCTTGGTCCTTGGCAGGAGACCATTTCAACAAGACTTGCATTTTTGGGAGATGTAAGATGTTTTACTAATGGATCCTCCCATTTAAATTGAAGCATGTCCAAGAAAGACGCATAGCAAACTTTTCATCAAGTTTAGATGTATATAGTGGAAGAATAAAAGACAAGACTATTGACCAATGTGATTCCAAGTGGGATTCTCCCATGGACGTGACTGATTATAAATCTCAGCAATGGCTCTTATTCTGAGGTTCTAGATGTCCTTTTGAGCCGATGGATTCGGTTTTTAAATTTAACATTCTCTAAGTGGCGTCCAGCACTAGTATCATGTCAACCTTAGAGATGAGGAGGAATGATTCTCATTCAAGGAATAAAGAAGCCCTATGACTTATGAACAAGTGACTCGGGCAACTGACAAGTGACACTACAGTGATATAGATAGCCAAGAGAGTAGAATCAGATGCAAATGATATACTGACCCTGCAAATTGAACAATATGCAACTCATAACAGAAAACAAAACTTGTAATGCGTCTTATAAAAACTTAATCAACAATCTTTCATGCATTTGACCTGAAATGTAAAGATAACCAATAGTTTTCATTCGGATTCTAGCTTTATTCTCGTTTCCTGCATTTTACGAGGAGTGGAACATATGCAGTTCGAAACTTGACTAGAAACGGGAGTATTAAGGAAACATGGTTTTCTTGACATACAGTAAAGTTTTGAAGGTTCAGTTCTCTTAGCCAAGTAGGGAATCATAGTGCTTGAGAAAGAAGATAACTTGAGATACGTAGTGTCACACTCTAAAATGAGCAAGTTCTTATGGACCAAAGCATATAGACTAGAAGCTGGAGTCGATATAACCTGTGTCGACAATAATGGGCCTGAGACATAAGTTTCAATAGATTTACTCAGTTATCCCATTCCATATGTCGATAACACTCCATCGGATCTAGATCAAAATATCAGATGTATCTTTGGTTCCATATGCTACACAACTTTGTGGAAGTTATACTTGTCATCGCACATCTATGAGGTTTATGGTTACAATCTTGGAGAGATGCATCCATGGTTGTCTCTGTGGTCTGATTGAGAGTGTGTGGTATAAGATAGAGATTGGCTCAGACCACCACCATGTTATGACTTCACGCCAAACCATGTATCAGGCTCTACGCGATAATGTGCTGTCTTTAATTAAGCCATATATGTTAGCTCAGCCCCATCTACATGAAGGAGAGAAATTCAGCACAAGAAACTCAGATTCTTGGTTTGATACTACTGTTTGGGAAAGCATAAAAATCAAAGTTTTAGGAAGAACACCATGTCATACCTCTTATTTACCCAAAAAAAAAAAAACTTTTAGGAAGAGAATAAATTGAACCTCTTCCCATTGAAGGATCACATTACATGTATTTATGATTTTATACTAAGAGATGTTCTTTGAAAGGCATTGGTTCACTAAACAGCATCCTCTTTTAAATTCAAATGCATACAATGGCTAGTGTGGACAACGGCTTTGAACATTTTGGTTTACAAATAATATAAGAAATTAAGATTTTATGAGAGAACACTGTCGAGAAAACAATTGACGAATTTGTCTTTCTTAATTATTTGCCAGCAAAAAAGAAAAGCAAATGTTTGGATGAAAGAGAAACTTGAAGCCAATATGCAACAAAAAACAGTTATTTGTTTGATGTGCATCAAAATGAGAGAGTATACAAAGAGACTATTTACTTATTTTACAAAGAGATCAGCCATAGATACTATCGCACAAGAGCGGATCTTGAAAGGATCGAATGGGAATGACGACTCTCCAGGCGGTCGTACAACACAATTGTAACTGCAAGCCTCCGAGAAAGAGATTAGTTCAATGGATAAGCAACTGCCACAGCCAAACTAGTCCCGTTGGGATGGAGCTGTAAGCAACCACTCTTGTTTGTCAGATTTCAAATTGGATGTTTGTGAGTGTATCTTTGATTAGACTTAAAGTTCAAAGAAAAATTTCTTGAACTTGATGACACTCTCCAAGCCATTTAATTTAAAATCTAATAGTTTGGAATAATTACGACAAAAAAAAAAAAAGTCTTATAACCCCATCCAAACTATTTTCATGGCAGTTTCTCAAACAAAAAGCACAATGCATGGAGTACTATGAATCTTTAAACGCGCAAAACCAATCATTATTTCTTGTTCATAGAATGGAATGAAGAGATGGTAGAAGAGACTGGAGTCAAAGTAGAAACAGTCCCAATAATGCCTGAAATATGCATTTAATACCCATGCATGACCCATCTGCCTTTGCAATATGAATGCAATTAAATAGATGGAAACAAACAAACACATACCATGGTTTTCTAGAAATAGAAAAAGCCAAAAAAAAAAAAAAAAAAAAGAAAAAAAAGGGAAAGAAAGAAAAGCTTTTGGAGAAAGGAGTGTGTCGTACGTAATTCCATCACCTTTAAGGCTGTCATTTCAAAGTAAGGCCCCTTCCTTTTCTTTTCCTTTTCCCTTTAAATTTTTTGAAATTCTTTTGTTTTAAAAAACAAAAGTGCGACAAGCAAACAGTCTAGAGAGTATTCTTGTGAGATGTGGTATGACAACATACTGCTTTTGTCCACATGGCCACGTAAAAAACCCTAGAGATTGAGAGAGATGCTTATTGAAACTTGCATTAAAATGAGATACGCTTTTGTGCGGATAATGCCATTTTTTACTTTTTAATGTTGGCTTGAGACGCACTTTATACACACTTTACTTAAAGGAGATCAACATGTCATTTGAACCTGTCCAAGTTGAAAGCCCTCCAATTCCTCTCTCTCTCTCTCTCTCTACACACTGTTTCTTCTGTCTATCTCTCTCTACACCCTGTTTCTACTGGCTATCTCTCTCTACAAACTGTTTCTTCTCTCTATCTCTCTCTATACACTGTTTTTTCTCTCTATCTCTCTCTACACACTGTTCCTTCTCTCTCTCTATCTCTCTACACACTGTTTATTCTCTCTATCTCTCTCTACACACTGTTTATTCTCTCTATCTCTCTCTACACAATGTTTATTCTCTCTATCTCTCTCTACACAATGTTCCTTCTCTCTCTAGATTGTTTATCTTTTTCTCTCTAGGCTGTTTATCTCTCTCTCTAGATTGTTTATCTTTTTCTCTCTAGGCTGTTTCTCTCTCTCTCTAGATTGTTTATCTTTTTCTCTCTAGACTGTTTATCTTTCTCTCTCTAGACTACGTCCATATCTCTCTTTCTCATGGGAAGAGAGACCGTTAGTGACAAACAAAGTTGGCATACGTAAGCGAATTTTCGCAGCACATCTTTTCTCGCAGTAGACAGTCTTCAGCCTTGCAAATTATTTAGTGTCCATGAATGTCTTTTGGGTTTATAGAGGCCCTTTTGACTGAGACTCACCATACCAGAATGCTTACAAATTTAAAAGATGTTGAAATTTTGGAAACAACCCAAAAATCACTAGATGATTATATTAAAAATAAAAGATTTGAATTTTGATCTCACCTTTCAAAGATTGGACGGTTTTTGAGGCTTCGTTTTCAAGCCCACAGATAATCTAATTCGGAAATTCTTTTTATTGAGTACAACACATGCTGTTAAAGGTCTCCAAAGTTTGGGTTCCTAAAAATACTCCCTTATTGAGCTTTTCCTGCGGGATTTGACGGACAATACTCCCTCAGGGGCGCTTAAAAGATGCAAAAGCTTGCCAAAAGATATCATACTCCCTCGGGAGTACATTGTCTATTTACTCCCTTTGCTAAAACTCCACCTAGGACTTTTAGGATCCCAAATTTTGGGGATATAATCTCTTCCAAGCCATAGATTAACCCTCTATAATAAGAATTCATACTTCTACCTTCTATGCACTTAAAAAAATTAATGTCTCAAAATTAAATACAACAGTCTAATTTTAGAGGGTAAGATCTAAGTGTGAGAATACTTAAATTCCAAATTTTTTATTCTGAGAATAATCATGTAGTGATTTTTTAGGTGGTTTCCAAAATTTCAAATTAAAAATCCTCACCCGTAAATCGCGGGAGTAAGTATAAAGTATCCTCCAGCAGGAGTGTAGCATACGTGTCTAACATACTTATGCCATAAAAAGG